TACCCTCAGTTTTTGGATAACTAATTATTTGATCAGCCCACATTTCAAGAGAATTTTTGTTTTATATGCAGGGCTTGGCTATGGGGCTTTTGAAACACACTTCCCTCTATGTAAAGAATAAATACATTTCTCCAGAAAATACAAATGGATTTTCAGAAGAGCAAACGAGATATAAGAAAATTTGTGATAATGCTTGTTATACAGGCATGAGTGGTCTTTCTGTCCAGCTATGAAACAGCCCCTGGAGATGGAATTTATAGCTCTTTTCTTCCAAATGCTTGTAATATGTATGGTAAAGCTAACATGAATATATGTAAGTATTCGATATGTAAGGATGTATAAGATAAACACAACCAGATAAACTGGTAAAGACAAAAAACCCCACCAAAACAAAGCCAAAAACTTAGTAGCTCACAGAGCAAGACACCCAGTAAAAGAGTTTTTATTTCAATCTTTCATGAACTGAGAAGCTTCCGCAAATTTTGATCTGGNATATCCTTACAGAATAAAATTTGGTTCTGTTGATTTTTCTATTATTTTATAATTTCCTGTTTCATATATTCATGTTGTAATCTCTGTTGTTTCCTACTTACATATTTGCTTTGGTTTAGTTTGTTCCTCTTTTTCTATTTTCTTAAGGTAGAAGTTTACATTAGTAATTTGAGATTTTTTTTGATATAGATGTTTACAAGTGTAAATTTTCCTCTAAGCATTTCACGAGCCTTGCATCCTATAAATTTTGATATGTAGCACCTCTTTTTTTTTTTTTAAGAATAATAAGTTTAGTGTTTAATCAGGAATAAACAGAAATATGTGTACATCTAGAATATGCAGGTTAAGGGGACTATAGACATATCAAAGGACATTGAGGTAAGGGGAGACTTTTAAAGGTAAAAGGGAAACCTACCTGTAATTTGATTTGAAAGAAGGGGAACATTGTTTACAGGAGCTTATCCAAGAAGTTGACGCCAGTTCCTTAGTGGAGATGGTGTGTCAGGCAAGTGTTCCTGTACTTCCGGCTTACTGTCCTTGTGACTCACGTAGCAAGGTGCAGCTTGAAAAGTTGCACGTGTGAGCCTTTCTGAGAGTCTTTGTAATAGTTCTCATTATTGGCATGTGGCGTGAGGGCCCTCCCTTCTCAGCCTTCCAGCTCTACTTATGAATTTCTTGTTAGGATGTGACACAAGTGACTCCATTTTGATTCTGACAATATCCACAGTGAGCAAAAATATAAGAACTCACACTAAAAAGTTTCTTAAAGTAAAAACACATTTTAATAATATTTTTGAACAAAGAAGGAGACACTGAGTGGTCTAGGGTGCTCACTTTGGGATTTTGACAATGAGGGTCATCACAGGCTGAGTGAACCTAGGACGTGACTCACTGCCATTTTGTGGCCGAGGATGGGGGTGTCCAGGGAAAAACCCAGGCCATGATGGACAAACGGGAGGACAAGCTTGTCTTGGTGGAAACAGGCTCAATGGCTGCACTGAGGCTTCTTGGGGACTAGGAAGTACAGGGCATCCCTTGCCAGGAACTTCTTTTTTAGATTCACTAGGATCAAGGTTGGAGAATGGAGGATTTTCTTTTTATCCATCATTTATTTAGGAGAGTGTTGTTTGATTTACACACATTTGTGAATTTTCTAATCCTCCTTCTGTTTCTGTGGTCAGAGAACATATTTTCTACAGCTTAGTCTTTTTAAATGTATTAAGACTCGTTTAGTGGCCAAAAATAAATACAGTAAAATAAAATAAAGTTATTGGGATTATTGGAGCAGATTTGGAGAAGTATTGGGAATATAGGAGAGTATTTGGAGAAGAAGAATCTTGATCCAAGGTTTGAAAAACGTTAGAGCTTCCGAACATGAGCGATACCACATTCTGTCTGGTAATCTTATTTACATGCTGAAAACTTCAATAATGTCTTACTAAATAATAGAACGGAGTGACAAAAATACCTGCTTTACAAACATGCTTTTCCCTAAGTGATTTCTGGCTAACTGTACACTAGTGAAAACAGGATTTAATTGCTTCCTTGGGATCCTTTGCCCAAGTGACCTCAGCCAAGTAAATATACTATGTAGTCCTCTTTTTGATTTCCTCACTCTCTCATTATTTTAGAGAAAAAGAAGATTCTATTCTTTTTAGGAGCATATTTGTTTGATCTTTTCTGGTGTCTGCTTTTTGACCTCAGGTAAAAGATGTCGACCACTGTAGCCATAATGCCCATAGATCTCTGAGTATTTATCCACAAGTCCCGTCACAAACACTCTGTGGAGAGCTAGGCAATTGCTTATTTATGGCTCATTTGCAATAAATAAATACTTTTTAAATTAAATAAAATATTCTGTTATTAATCCGATTAGAGAGAAATAAATATGATTGTTTTTATTTAGTACTTTACCAAACATGTTTCTCTTTTGCTAATTGATTAAATAAGTCATTTGCTCAGAGATTAAAAATTACCAGTTAGTTCCCTCTATGTCTGGAGGAAGTGCTAATTGGAAAACAATATTGTTTGTATATGATGCAAACATCATAAATAATTCTTCCTCTTTCAACATACAAATGTGTTATTTTGTAAAAATAAACAAACAAAAAAACCCCTAAAAAACATGTGGAGCAGTTATAATTAGATTAAATTTCCAGGAAGTATAAGCCAGTTTTTAAAAATACTATTGTGAAAGCAAAATATGGATATGTTTATTGTGAGTATACCAATGTAATTAATTTTTAGAGTGGCCAATTGTGTTTTTATTCTGTTTGCTTTTCTATATTATAATCTTGTTTAAGAACTTCCCTTGGCCATCAGAAACTGGCAGATAAAACCTTGTGACAAAACCGCAAGCATGGTGCAACATCTCTGAGTTCCCTAACTGGGCTCAGAATAAAAATCTCTGTAGGTAAGTGAATTTTAGTATATCTAGGTTAACATAGGACATTCACTAAGACCTGTTTTAATGTTAAAATGCTATTAAGTCCGAACAATGGAAAGACAAGATTTTTTTATTTTTATTTTTAGAATTAAGTGTGGGAAAATATGAGATTGGAGGTCAAAGGTGAGAAGAGTGTGTGTGTGTGTGTGTGTGTGTGTGTGTGTGTGTGTGTGTGTGTACTTGTGAATTGTTTGATCAGAAATTTTAGTTGATGCTGCTATGTAGATGAGATCGGTAGGAAGGATTTTATAGAGACGGGAAAGGAGGTGAAAATTGGAAAGCATTGTTACTTAGGAAAAGAAGGAAATAACAGGCATCTACCCTCAGTTTTTGGATAACTAATTATTTGATCAGCCCACATTTCAAGAGAATTTTTGTTTTATATGCAGGGCTTGGCTATGGGGCTTTTGAAACACACTTCCCTCTATGTAAAGAATAAATACATTTCTCCAGAAAATACAAATGGATTTTCAGAAGAGCAAACGAGATATAAGAAAATTTGTGATAATGCTTGTTATACAGGCATGAGTGGTCTTTCTGTCCAGCTATGAAACAGCCCCTGGAGATGGAATTTATAGCTCTTTTCTTCCAAATGCTTGTAATATGTATGGTAAAGCTAACATGAATATATGTAAGTATTCGATATGTAAGGATGTATAAGATAAACACAACCAGATAAACTGGTAAAGACAAAAAACCCCACCAAAACAAAGCCAAAAACTTAGTAGCTCACAGAGCAAGACACCCAGTAAAAGAGTTTTTATTTCAATCTTTCATGAACTGAGAAGCTTCCGCAAATTTTGATCTGGGAAAGTCATGAGACATGTTGCAATGTATTATTAGGATCTGACTCACAGTGATGGTCCTGGGACAGGATAATTACAGACAGAAGAGAGAAAAGGTTAAGTCAAATGTAATTCTGAACCTTCAATCAAGTGTGTGAAAAAGTGGATTTACTAATGTTAGGGTAGCCATGACAACATGCTATGTATGGGGTGGGTGCCTAGGCTCACTGTTGGACACAATGAATCAAGGGGGTATTATAATGCACATAGACATGCACAGACACAGTAGGGTATAGTTTTATAGTCCAAACTGACTAAATAAACTGAAGATATAGCCATGGTATCATTAGCAAGTAGCAAATTGAAGTGATGTGATCGGGTGAAAGAGTTGAGAATTAAACAGATTTGACAGAAGAGAAAAATTGAGAAACAACCCCGATGAGGAGGAGGAGGAAGAAAAAAACCTCAGCATAGAAAAGATAAGAGCTTCCAGATTGGAGGAAGAACAAAACATCCTTAGCATTTCAAAACAGATAGAGTTTAAAGAATAAAACATGGAAATCAACAAATCTTATTGATCAGGGTAATGAGGTGGAATGGAAGTGAGTCAAGCTCATTGGATTAGGTATTAAGAGATGATTTAAAAGCTTTATGAGTTTTGTTTCATCAAGTCAAAAGCACAGAAAACAGATGTAGAACACTGAGTAAATCAAAAAGTGGTTAATAATAGACTGTGTACATAAGTGCTTTAATGAAGAAATGCAGTGCTGGGTGAAAAAGGCTACCTTCAGAGGCAACCCACACAACAATGAAATCAGAGAAGGATCCTTCAGATTATGTGTAGATATTGGAGCTGTATAGTTTCACAGTCTTGTTTAGGACATGATAGCAGGAGGTATAGAGAACAGCAGGGACAAATAAATTGGCAAAGCATTGTTAATTTTCAAAATAAGAGAGATATAGGCACATTTGAAGGCAGAGGTAAGGAAATGGAAGAGAAGTAAAGGTTCTAGACATTGTAAATATATAAAATAAGTGAATGATGACAATCCTAGGGATGGCAGGAAAAATATGTTAACGTGGTCATAAGATGGTGGTGGGGGGGTAAAGGTTTAAATTTGAAGTGGTTATTTCCAACTCAAAGCGAGAAATGTGTTCTCATTGCATCTTTCAGACTGGCACCCAGGAAATATGATGAGTATGGATTTTCATTCAAACTCACCTAGCTACGTATTCAAATATAGTTTTCTGTCTTAGTAGCAATGCAATGAAAGGTAATGGGCATTCCCAACATCAGCACCTTCAGTGGATTTTTCCTGCTGGGTTTCTCCAGGCAGCCTCTGCTAGAGAAGATGCTCTTTGTCATCATTGTGATTTCCTACTTGCTGACCTTGCTTGGCAATATGGCCATCATTATTTTGGCTCGTCTGGATCCCCGGCTTCATACCCCAATGTACCTTTTCCTCAGCCACCTGTCTTTAATGGACCTCTGCTACACTGCCAGCACAGTCCCCCAGCTGCTGTTTAACTTGCAGAGCCCAGAGAAGACCATTACTTATGGTGGTTGTGTTGGTCAACTCTATGTGTCCTTGGCAATGGGTTCGACAGAATGCATCCTTCTTGCAGTCATGGCCATTGACCGTTATGTCGCGGTATGCCGGCCTTTGCACTATGTCATTCTCATGCATCCACGCATCTGTTTGCAATTGGTGGCCATGACATGGCTGACTGGCTTGACCAGCTCATTGGTGCAGACTGTACTCATCACACAGGTTTCCCTTTGTGGAAGGAACGTCATAGACCATGTCTTCTGTGAAGTGCCAGTTCTCCTCAAACTCGCCTGTGTGGAAATCACATTCATTCAGACAGAACTCTTCCTGTTCAGTGCATTCTTGCTCCTGGTGCCTTTCACTCTCATTCTTATCTCCTACGGCTTCATTGCTCAGGCGGTGTGGAAGATCAGGTCCTCTGAAGGACGCCGAAAGGCTCTCAGGACTTGCTCTTCCCACTTGCTGGTGGTGCTTCTCTTCTACGGCACTGCTATGGCCACATATCTGCAGCCCAATTTGGCCACCTCCCAGGACAGGGACAAGTTCATGGCCTTACTCTATGGAATTGTCACTCCAACTCTAAATCCTTTTATATATACATTATGTAATAAAGATATGAAAGGGGCACTGAGGAAGGTGATAGGGAAAGAGTGAGGAAAAAGGAGGAGTTTAAAGAGATGGTAGAAAGTGAAGAATGGAGAATTGCTTAATGGAAACAAACCATGGGATGCTTTTAATTCTGAAAAAAATGGTGATGGCTTTCTTATTTCTGAGTAGCTTAACTCAAGTGTGACAATATACTTATTATGTTAACATATTTCTGTATCTTATCTGTAAGGGTGAGATAACTGAGACGATTAGCTGACAGTTATCAGTCTTGACTCTGGCAAAGGTTAGCTAGATGACAATGGCCAACTCATGTAATTTCTTTTATTGTCATTAGATTAACAAAAATGGCAATAAAAACATCCACTCTACATGTCGGAGAGGTCATTGTGAACATGGTGTTAGGTGAAGTAGTGCTTTATGGTCTGTGCTGTGGACTGAATGTCTACCCCAAACCTATTGGAACTTAAATTGTGTCCCCTAAAATTCCTGGTATTGGAAACCTGGCCTCCACTGTGACAGTGTTAAGAGGGTGGGGAATCCTATTATGGTTACTGGAAGGTGGGGCCTTGGGGAGGTGATTAGACTGTAGGACCATGCCATAGTGAATGGATTAACCATGGTTCTGAGCGTTCTGAGGGGTCTGAGCGCATGGTTCTGAGAGCTTCAAAAGGAGAACACACAAGTATATCTCTCTCTTCTCTGCCATTTTCTGCCATGTGAAACCCCTGCATTGCTGTAAAGCCACCACCAAGAAGACTTCCCGGCCTCTGAAAATGTAAGCAATAAATTTTGTTTTCTTATAAATTACCCAGTTCCAGGTACTGTGTTATAAATTACCCAGTTCCAGGTATTGTTGCATTTCTGCAACAGAAATGGACTAATACAGTCCGCAAATGTAAAATATAAATAATTCCACATACAATTTTGGGGGGGATTCCCCAAGTTGTGAAGTACCTTAGAGGCCATTTGCCCTAATACATTCAGTATGAGAATCCTCATAAAATATTTTTGAATAGTAGCTATTCAAATGTGTATGAACATTTCCACAGTATAAAGCAATTTGTTTTTCCTAAGGCGAATGCTCCACATTTGGACAGATATTTTCATTATACCATGTTTTCTTAGATTAAGTTGAAAATCTGCCTCTTTATTGTTTCAACTTTGTTAACTAGGCTTTGACCTTCAAAGCCAGGCAAAATAGCCTCTGATGATATAATATTCCATTTGTCTAAATGCCTTCGACATACGAAATGTATTACCATGTACAATTTTTCTAAATTAATGAAGAATTCTTTATTTCTTAAGTAGTGTTATTCCAACTATCCACAAAATTCTGGTATTTTTCTAAATTTAATAAAGTTTGTTTAACCTGCTTCCACAAATACATTTTGTTGATCAAGTTGAATTATATGGGTATAATGAAGTGGGCTAGAGTTGTCTTTTAAATTCCATGAATATCTTTTGCTAAAAACCAACCTGATTTTGAAATGGAGAGGTTACTTTCCAATTCATTCCTAAAGGCATTTCTCTCTGGTTGTGTAGAAAGGAAAATGGCCATTCTCTTATTGATGAGTAGTAGTTTTCTGCATCCACAGTGGACAAGCAATAGTCATGAATTTCATTCACCCTGCACTGTGTGGTACATCAGGACCATTTACAGCTCAGTAGGTTATCCATGCTACTGAAGGCATATTTGTCATTTTTCCACCCAGTATTCTTTCCTCAGTATAGAAATTATTAAACCATGTCCATGTAAAATGGACAGTAAAACAAGAAAAATTAATCTATGAATGTTGATGTTTTCTCCCGCTACTTGGTTCTTTCAATCAGAAATGTATGAGGCATCTTTGATCCCTCTTCTTTCTCAAGTGCCATATCAAATCGATGAGTCCCATGGACATTCCCTCCTAATACCTCTCAAATTAGTTTATCATCATTTTCAGTCTAACTTAAAAGAGAATTCCATTGTCTTACTGTATGCTGTATAAATACTCATTGAATAATTGAATAGGTCAAATTAATAATGATTAGAGTTCAGTAAGTTGGCTGGTTGGCAACGCTATATTAAACACATATAAAACAGATTCCTTATATGCCAGAAATAACAAGTTAAAGGTATAACTCATTCAATGAATTCCTTCATAATTTTGAATTGTGCATTTACTATTTTTTAAATTATCTTAGAATATTGACCTGAGCCGTTGAGAGTGTCTTTAGTAATATCACTGATGGCATGTGTCATTCTTGTTTTTAGTCTTAAAAGGACTATGTTCAAGTCTTTCAACTAAGTCTGATATTAGAGGTAGATTTTAATGTATAACTCTTTATAGTCAAGATAATTTCTCTCTTATTTTCAGTTATCTGAGATTAAAAAATCACAAGTTACTATTGAGCTCTACCAAATGCTCTTACTTATTTTATATGTACTTTAAAAATTATGTGAATATTTTCTTTGAGGCTGTTATTCTGATAAATCACTGTATTCTTATATTTACACTACTGACTCATCTTTGCAAAACTGGGATGAAGCCTGTGAGACCACAGGTATTAAAGAAATACGCTGGGATTTAATGAATGTTGTATTTATGGATTTTCAGTTGATGTTAATAAGTGCTCATAATTCTTCTCAACTAATACTTCTCGAGAAATATAATCCTGATGATTCAGAATATCATAGAAAAAGGTTACAGTCCACTGCCGTAGATAGTCAAAAAACAATTATAAAACAGTTTAAAAAAAAAGAGTGAGTGTGACAAATATTTTAATGGGAGAGTTACAAGCAATGTAGAAAACCAATAGCACTGAGAAGTATTAAATTATTTCCAGAGAAAATTGCATTTAATATAAAACTTGAAGGATGATGGGAATAAATTTGATATCAGCAAGAGGAAATCCGAACAATAGTGATTTAAACACAGATGGACTCTGTTTCTCATGCAACAAGCAGTCCAGCCATGTGGTGGCTCACTAATACCATGAGGAATCATTTAGGTAAAT